GAACCCCCCCCTCTACACACACAAAGAAACCCAACATTGCAGATGTGGTTTGCAAAAAGGGGAAAAGGCAAGTCAGCAAGCAGCAGCTCGCTGCCTGCTCCCCTCCGCAGCCCTGCGGTGCACGGCGTGGCAGGGGAACCCACCCTCCAGCCAGCTTCCTCCCCAAAAAATAATACACCACCACCTCCCTGCTCCAGGTCTTGTCTTGCTGGACATCACCGGCTGCCACGGCCCATCAGCACCATCCCAGCGCCTGCTGCTGCCCGGGGCGGGTGGGAGTCAACAGCAGGGTCCCAGTGGAATGGGAAATATCCTGCCCATGTGAGGACAGCCATCCCATGAGCATCTGATGGGTATCGGCCAGGAGACCCCAGCCAGCCCCAGTCCTTTGCCAGCACGTGGGGGCGCACAGAGGATGTGGCTGTACCCACCAAATGAGCCTAAATTAACCCCCCACAGCCCCCCCAAACATCCAAGAATAAGATGGAAAAGGACAAGAATCAGTTTTTAGACAAACAACAGATCACAGACTGCTTGAAGGATATAGTTAAATCTCTGTTTAGATTAATCTGATTAGAGGGGATATAATAGCATGTGCCCAGGCTCCCTCCGGGCACCGGCACGGCAAGATTTCCCGCTGGGATACGGCACCAAGGCAGACATTTCGCCAAGCCACTGCCTGCAGCTTGCTGCGGAGAAATTCCTGCGTTAAGACTCCAATCAGGATAAAATCCGATTCTGCAGGAGGGTCCTGCGCTCACCAGGAGCGACGGACACCGGGCGGACACCGCGCTGCAGAACCGGGCACGGGTTTGCCAGTTATTTAACTGCTCGTGCCGTTCTGGCCACGGTTCCTGCTGTCCCAGCAGCCGGTGCCGCTGGAGCACGGATGTCGGGGTGGGTGATATCCTCACCCACCTCCCTGCCAGACGCTCCAGCAAAGGCTCAGCTACTCAAAGAGGCAGCACGGAGGGAATCAGGCCTTTCTGTTATTCCAGAGGTGACCAAAACCCCTTCCCAGCAGCCAACGAGCTCCGGTGGCCGCAGCAGCAGGTGTCAGAGGAGTTGGCATTTAAGGGTGCTGCACCCCAGCTGCTCCTGGGACAAATCCTTTCCTCTTCTGCAGGGGTGGCACGTGTTACAGTGATGGGGAGGATGGTGGCTGCTGGGCAGACCCAGGAGCAAACGGCACCAGCAGGAGACGGGCATCTTTTTGTCCAAACCCAGGTGCCATTGGGCAGCTGCTGGGGGAGTCGGGGCTTAATTAACAGTAGTGTTAATCCAATAAGGCACTACCTCAGCTCGCAGGGGCACGAGAGGACAGTCCTGAGACTCGTCTCTTGTTTTACCCCAGTCACCTCTCACATCCCAGAGCCCTTTCCTGAGTTTCTTGGAAGTCACTGCCAGACTCGTACCAAGGTCACAGAAAACAAAGCCACCTTTTAAGTACAGACGCACTCCCAGGTCACTAATTCTCCATTCCCAGATCAGGTCTGGAAGGCAACAGGCCATGCAGACCAGCCCCAGACCTGCTTTGAGGATGGGAACAGAGCTCCATCCCACTCCTACGAGGAGAGCCAAGGGCCATCGTCACTTCCCGGGGTCTTTGCAAATCCAGAAGATTTTTTCCTGGTGCTCAGCAGCAGCTTTTACAGAAATCCTCACCTCTAACAGCTGGGTCCCCCGAAGGGCAGAGGAGCAGGGGCTGCAGGCAGCCCCAGGCTGGCAGGAAAGCCGCAGTGCCAGACACACGGCTCCCTCGAAGGGCAAATGCCATTCTTAAGTCGCGTGCGCTGCCAGGCAGAGCTTACGGCTCAGCCACGGCCCAGGAGCTCCTGTACTATCTGCTGGTGCTGCCAGCAGAAATCATCCCATTGCCATGGCAACCGCATCCCATGCCCTGGGCATGCTAATAACGCTTGGGAGAAGATGAGTCCCCGGCAGCAGCCTCCGGATGCAGCAAGGAGGGAAGCCCCAGTCACTGCGAGGGCTGGAAACAGAGAAATTCATCCCTGCGGAGCTCAGAAACCAAAAATCCATGGATGTAGGGGAGAAAAATTAAAAATAATCTGAAAGACAACCAACAGCCCCACTTCTGCGTTTGCAGGAACGCCGCAGGCACTGCGGTGCCCTGCTGCAGCCACGGTCTGGCGAGGGAGAGGCAGAGACGGGCACAGACCGCACGCACTGAGCTAGAATTAGGTTTCCGCTTCTGATAGATTTTTGAGGAAACCTCCCGAGGATTTGAGGCAGCTTCTTACTCAGCCCCGAGCCCCTGCAGACAGCTGGCAGCAGGCAGGAGGAATCTGGCCGTCTGCGCCAGGCGCAGGAAGAAACACACACGTTGAGTGTTTTCCCCTCAGATTTCAGCATCGCTTTTCTCCCCGGCTCATGAGATCTGCCTGATAAAAAAGCATTTCAGTCCTTG